ATGGATATGATTGCCATTTTGGTAATGGCAAATGCCAGATTGTTTATAATAATAAATATGTTGGTCTTGCCTTTCGACAAGACAAGCTTTATTTATTATCACTTTCTAAGAATGTGAATGATGTAAGTACTAAGAATGAGAATGCTTCCTCGTCTATGAAGGCAACAAATAAGCGAAAGCGAGTGCATGATGTATCTTTAAAATTATGGTACTGCCGTTTAGGCCATATTTTGAGGGGGAGAATAGAGCGATTGATTAAGAAATCAATTCTTCCGCCTTTAAAATTTTTCAGATTTAGAACAATGCATAGATTGCATAAAAGGAAAATATGTTAAGAAAATAAAGAAAGATATCAAACAAAGCGCATGAATTTTAGAAATAATCCACACAGACATCTGTGGTCCTTTTCTGGTGAAGAGTGTGGATGGTTATGATTCATTTATAACATTCACAAATGATTGTTCTCGTTTTGGCTATATTTATCCAATTTAGGAAAGATCGGAAGTATTGGATAAATTTAAAATATTCAAGGCTGAAGTAGAGAATCAGCACAACTTAAAGATTAAGGTAGTAAGGTCCAACCGTGGGGGAGAGTACTACGGTCGACACACCCCATATGGCCAAGTTCCTGAACCCTTTGCAAGGTACTTACCGAAAAATGGCATAGTACACCAGTATTCTACACCGGGCGAGCCTCAGCAGAATGGAGTAGATAAAAGACGCAACCGTACCTTAATGAATATGGTGAGAAGCATGATAAGTTACTCTATCTTACCAATAAGTTTATGGATGGAGGTGTTAAAAACCGCTATTCATATTCTTAATCGAGTGCCAAGTAAGTCGGTGCCCAAGACACCGTATGAGTTGTGGACAGGAAAGGAACCCTCACTAAACTATTTATGTGTATGGGGTTGTCCAGCTGAGATAAAAGTATTTAACCTAAAAATAGGAAAGCTGGACTCCAAGACAGTCAGCTGCTATTTCATTGGCTATCCAAAAAGTCAAAATGTTATCGTTTCTATTATCCTGATAGACAAACGAAGTTCAGTAGAAACAAGACATGCTGTCTTCTTGGAGGATGATATGATCAAGGGGGGGCATGGTAGCGCAAGAAATAAGTTTTGAAGAGAAGCGGGTATATGTGTCCACTCCTATGGTTCAGGAGCCATTCTTCACGCTACATGTTGTTGCTGTACCAACAGTGCAAGACACTGTAGTAACAACACCTGTTGTTAGTTCTCCTGTGGCAACAATGAATGAACATGAGGAACCTGTCCTTTAGGATCCCCAAGAACCCATTGTCACACATGAGGAAGAGCAACAACAGCCTCATATAGAACAAGCATCATCTAACGAGGTCCCTAGAAGGTCTCAAAGAGTCAGGAGATCAGCCATCCCTGATGATTATGAAGTTTACGAATATGAGGAATTTCAAATGGAGGGTGATCTCACCTCATTTGAAGAAACCTTGAGAAGCGCTCACTCATCCAAGTGGCTTGAAGCCATGGAAGATGAAATAAAATCAATGAAAACCAACAGAGTTTGGAACTTAGAAACAATTTCTAAAGGAGCCAAGACAGTAGGCTGTAAATGGGTCTACAAAACTAAACATGACTTCAAAGGGAATATAGAAAGGTTTAAAGCAAGACTTGTGGTGAAAGGTTTCATGCAAAGAGAAGACATAGATTACAATGAGACATTTTCTCTAGCCTCATATAAGGATTCTTTTAGAATCATAATGGCGCTTGTAGCACATTACGACTTAGAATTACTTCAAATGGATGTAAAGACAGCGTTTCTAAATGGGGATTTGGAGGAAAACGTTTACATGGCACAACCGAAAGGTTTTGTTGTGGAAGAAAAAGAACGTATGGGATGCCGCCTAAAGAAATCCATTTACGGATTAAAACAAGCTTCAAGACAGTGGTATTTGAAGTTTGATAGTACAATAAGGAAGTTTGGGTTTCAAGAAAATGTAGAGGACAATTGCGCTTATGCAAAGTTCAAAAATGGAAAATACATTTTCCTAGTTTTGTATGTGGATGACATCTTGCTCGCTAGCAGTGATGTTAATCTACTACTAGAAACAAAGAAGTTTTTCTCCTCAAAGTTTGATATGAAGGATCTCAGTGAAGCTTCGTTTGTCTTAGGAATAGAGGTTCACCGAGATAGAGAAAAGAGGGTTTTAGGATTATCACAAAAGGCATACTTAGAAAAAATTCTAAAGAAATACAGTATGCAAAATTGTAAGTCATCACCTGCTCCCATAGTCAAGGGCGACAAATATGGAGAATTTCAATGTCCCAGGAACCAATATGGGATCGATCAAATAAAAACGGTTTCATATAGTTCAGCTGTCGAAAGTTTACAGTATGCTCAAGTGTGTACTCGCCCTTACTTAGCATTTGTTACCGGGTTGCTTGGTAGATATTAGAGTAATCCAGGAATAGAACACTAGAAATTAGTAAATAAAGTTTTGCGTTACATGCAAGGTACGAAGGGTATCATGCTAACATACAGAAGATCTGATTCCCTACACATAGAGGGGTATACAGATTCTGATTATGCGGGAGATAAAAGAAAGTCCACGTCAGGATACATATTCACTCTCACAGGAGGAGCTATATCATGGAAAAGCTCAAAGCAAACCGTCACTACATCGTCCACAATGTATGTCGAGTTTGTAGCATGTTATGAGGCCACAGGGCAAGTGAATTGGCTAAAGAAATTCATGTCTGAGTTGAAAGTGGTAGACGACATACATAAACCACTCAAGTTATACTGCGATAATAATTCAGCAGTATGTTATGCTCACAACAATAAGTCAAGTGATGCTGCCAAACACATTGACATAAAGTATTATGTTGTGAAAGATAAAGTCTGGGATCATATAAATAGTCTTGAGCATATAAGAACAGAAAAGATGCTCGCGGATCCGCTTACAAAAAGCTTACCACCCAGCGTGTTCAGAGAACACTTAGCCGGTATGGGTTTAAGGAAAAGCCTATAATTCCTGGACAATAAGGGCCTAGTTAAGAATCTGTTTCAAAATAGAGATATGCATTGTAGCTGTTTAATCTAATGGCAACTGACCGTGATAATGAGGCACGTTCTATGCACTGATCTGTGATGGAATGGAAACAAGAGAAAATAAGTAAGTTAAGTTTAAGTCATAAATGAGATCAAGTGGGAGAATATTAGTTGATCTCCACCAATTAGCCCAACGGTCAATTGGGCTGTTGGATCCGCGCCCTGATCAGGGGTGCCCAATCCTAATATGGTTGGTGGGCCCCCGTCGTAGAACGCTATAAATAGGAGGTGGGGCCGGGGCGCCAAGCACGAGGTTCGCCTGAGCCGCCTAGCACTCCACCTACAGTCCTAAACCCTAACCGATCACAGAGAGGGACGCCAGCGACGAGAAGCGTCGCCACCGGCCAACGCCGCCACTGCACTGCCGCCCTTCGACTCAGCACCGCCACCGGGTCTTCATCAAGCACCGTGATGGCGATCCCGTCTTCCTCGAAAGTGGCTGATGATTTGCACCCCCTTCACCGCTCTCTCTCTCTCACTCTATCTATTAATCATGTACCGATAGATGTTATAGAACTCGCTGTTTATTTCAAATACATGTACACACGCTAGATTAGTGATCTGTTTTAGGTCTATCACGGCAACCTCGTCATCCGATCTTTGAATGGAATCACCGCATGGCAGAGCTTCGAGCACCCGGGCGACACGTTCCTCCCCGGCATGAAGATCCGGGTCATGTACAGGTCTCGAGACGGTGACCGCCTGGTTTCTTGGAAAGGCACTGACGACCCCTCACCGGGGAGCTTCACCTTCGGCCTGGACCCGGGCACGCTCATGCAGGCCTTCATCTGGAACAGGACACGTCCCATGGCGCGCACCGCCCCGTGGACGGGCTACGCGACCATCAGTGGCCAGTTCCATGTGAACTCCAGCTCCAGCGTCGTCATTGTTTCCCCTGGCGGTCGTCAAAACCGAGGAAGAGATGTATTTAGCCTATAGCCTCCCTGACGGCAGCGGGCACACCAGGTTCGTGTTGACTTATTACGGTGAATACCAGCTGCAGAGCTGGGGATCGTCGGACTGGGCTTTCGTCGGCAAGTGGCCGGCCAACGAGTGCGACTTGTACGGTCAGTGTGGCTCATATGGTTACTGCGATGGCACGGTGACTGCCCCGACGACTCCGATGTTCAAGTGCCTCGATGGTTTCGAGCCAGCGAGCCTGGAAGCGTGGAGCACAGGCAGGTTTTCCCAGGGGGTGCCGGCAGATGGAGGCTCTATGGTGTGGCGACGGCTGTTTCGTGGCGTTGCCGGGGATAAAACCGCTGGACAAGTTCGTGCTCGTCGAGAACCGAACCTCTGACGAAAGAACTTGACGAAAGGCATTCTGTGCATGAGCACCAGGACATGATAATTGGGCAAGAGTTCCTTCAGATGAAAGAACTTGACGAAAGGCATTTGACAAGTATTCTCCTCTAGAATTAGAACGAAAAATGCGAATAGTAGATGAAAATTGAGTATGTATCATACGAATAAAGGCTTGATATATAGACAATAATTGAGATCGATGTTTCATAAAATAGATCCATGTATAACGAGAGTAATCATCAATAAAGATAACATAGTATTTGTGACCACCTTTTGAAAGCAAAAGGAGCCGGACCCATACATCTGAATGAATAAGATCAAAAGGATGTTCAGTTCTAGAACTACTAGTGGGATATGGCAGTTGTATCTGCTTTCCCAATTTACAACCAGTACATTCAAAAGAGGGATCTATGGACACTTTGCCAAGAACACCCTGCTTAACTAAGTTGGACAAAAGAGAGCCACATAAATGGCCCAAACGGTGATGCCACTGAGGAAAGGTAACCATAGGAGAAGCAAAAGATGGTAATGATGGTGGTGGTAAAGATGTTGACGAGGACATCGGTAGATGTAGACGGTCGAGGATGTAGAGGCCAGATGAATTCTTATGGCGATGGCCAGTACCAAGAAGAGCTTGGGTTCGACGATCCTAAATAAAGCAAGAGGTATCATCAAACCCAACGAAACAATTCATGTCAGTAAGTTGACCGACACACATAAGATTCATATAGAGTTGGGGCACAAAGGAAACATTTGAAACAATGAAATCAGAAGTAGCAAGATTGTCATGATGGGTAACGATACAAGAACTACCATCAGCAGTTTGAACATGTTTATTATTAGGAAGAGGGCGATAGAAATCCAACTGAGATTTATCGGAAGTCATATGAAAAGAGGCACCTGAGTCCAAGACCCAGGGTATAGAAGTACCTGAAACTAAAGCCGAAGCTATAGAGCCACCAGACATGTAGGCACCAACAGGTGTGAACTGTGATGCTGCTGTAGTGGTACTTGGTGGCAACGGTGAAGGAGTGGCCGGAGAAACAGTTGTTGTAGTACCCTTATGAGATGCTGCACGCTTGGCCTTGAACTCCTTCAAGAGATGTGGGTATTTCTGAAAACAACGCTCTTCAGTATGTGTTTTTCCACCACAATGCTTGCATTTTGGTTTCTCTTTAGGTTTCTCTTTAGAAACAAGAGAGCTATCCATGACAACATACTGAGGAGGTGCTACTAGGACAGAGTGTTGAGGAACTAAAGGAGCATCATCTATAGTGTGAAGCCTTGTCTCCTCAGCAAGTACAGCTGAAAGTGCTTCAGCCATGGTAGGAAGACTGGAGCGTCCAAAGATTTGAGCACGAATAGGCTCAAACGTGGACCGAAGGCCCATCATAAAGTGAAATATCTTATTTTGCTGCTCATACTTATCCCTGACACCACACTCCTTGCAAGCTGAATTAGGCTTTGGCACCATTGAGACTAACTGACTAGATAGCTTCATAAAAGCAGCAAGGTAGTCCTCAATCGACAGATCTTGTTGCTGTAAATGATGAAGTTGTTTGAGAGTGGAATAGCGAAGTGCATAGCTACTTTGCTGATACCGCTCCTTCAGAAAATCCCACATTTCTTTAGCTGTACTGAGATCCTCCAGACAGTATCTTATAGTTGGATCAACATTCATGGCTAGAATAGCCATTACTCGGTCATCAACATCTCTCCAAGCCTTTGCATCTTTGTCACTAGCATCAGGCGGGGAATCCGTAAGATGTGAAACGAGACCGGCGCCAGCAGAATGAAGAAGCATTTTGAAGGAAAAAGCCCACTCTCTATAATTCTGACCAGTCAATTTGATATCAAGAGCAGGGGCAGCAAAGGTAATAGGTGCCATAGTGGAGCTAGATGCAGCGGATGAACCCATTTGCAGTTCTGATAGCCAAGCAGCAACAACGGCAGCAGGCACGAACAACTAGCTTCTCAGGGGCAGGAGGCACGCACAGAAAACAAGCCGGCAACTCTGCACGAACCAACCGGACGATGTGCAGGAGCAAGCAGGGCGGACAAACGCGCGGACCGCGCGGACTTCACGGGCGGATGGGCGCGCAGGTACGATGCGGCGACGACAGCACGGGTAGACGACGAAGGTTCGCGCGGACGGCGCGGGGACGGGGACGGGCCGGGCGGATGGGCGTGCAGGTACGATGCGGCGACGGTAGCACGGGTAGACGACGAAGGTTCGCGCGGACGGCGTGGGGACGGTCCGCCTGAGGACAGCGGCCTCGGATGCAGAGGATTTGGCCCGGTGGCGAAAAAAAACGAGAGGCGCCGCGACCGAGGACCCTTCGTCGGCGGTGACGACTAGACCAACGGCGGCGGCGGCGGAAGACCTAGCTCGGATGCCATGCTAAGTTTAGCAGAATAAACCAGAATCAAATCTTCCAGAGTATAGTATTCAGATACATGTACATATATACAATAGGCACTTGGGCCATGAGCCAGACTACAAGTATATACTGCTATATAGTTGACAATCAACACCCAGATACCACAGAATCAACCACAATCTTAAACTCCATCTTGCAAAATGGGGTTTTCTCTAAAACACTCAAAATTCAAGAACTCGCGAGGAATATGCAAATTCTAGCGGAGAAACAACCCAAACAAGTGGAAGAACTCAGATAAAAAAATTTACACAAAAACTCCAAAAGAGCAAGGGAAGAGAAGGGGAAACAAGAAGGGCACATCCCTACTTTTTAGCCATAAAACAGTATTTTTCTCAATAAGTCCTGAATGTCCGGTGCTTCTTTCTTCGCTCTCGGATCGTCTGATTTGTGAAATTGCAAGGTGCTCTCAGTCCATCAGACAACATTGTAAATTGTAGAGCGCTCTCATTTTCATAAGATGTGGACCGTCCGACCATTTTATTTCTTCTATTTTCTTGATATCTTCACGTTTGTTTTCCAATTTCCTTTCCACCCGTCCCCTTGCATCCATAGTATCTTTTTTAAAAACTTTGCATCCATAGTATCAAAGTGAACATATCTAAATGCATCTTACACATGTTAGTCCGTATTGACTGGTCGCCATGATGATCACCAAAACCATGATAAAACTAGTCCTTCAAGCGCGCTCATGCACGCGGTGCACGGGCCCCACATATTATTTTGGAGAAAAGAAAAAAAATAATGAAAGGTGGACTGTTTTTTGATTTGAGAAAAATCAGAGGATATTTTCGCAAAAAATGATGAGAGTGTCTATGGAGCGCGGGTTGAATTTCGATAAAGTGGAGGTCTTTTTTGCAAACAAACGAGTGCGCATCCGTTCTAGACTGCGCATCGATTTGAAAATAACATGAGGCGTTTTTTATAAAAAATTCTGAGAGGACGTCTGGAGCGCGGGTTGATTTCCGAAAACTGAAAGGGGTTTTTCGTAAAACGACCGCGGCTCGCCCGATCTGGACCGTTCGCGCGGCCGATCGAACGGCCACGAAATAACAGCGACGTGGACACGCTGAATCGAGCGAGCTGGTCACAACAAATCATATCTTTAGATAGGCATTTCGGTCCAAAGTCCAAACTCCTTACAAACCGGCTACTGAACACAGAGTAGAACGTATACATTGTACTACTTCAAAAGAAAAAAGACAAGTACTGCATTGAACTGTCACAATTTCCTTATTATATTATACTTTTTGTCACTGGTTTTGTCAGGCACCAATGACAACGCCATTCTAATACTAAGCAGTCCGACGCGGACAGCTGAAATGTCAACCATAAGATGCGTCTGAGTTCATATCCATATAAACAAAATGATGTTGGGGAGATTATTTTTGTTAGTTCCGAAAAGAATTCAACCGGGGTTTTGTCATCATGTGAAAATAAAAAAGAAAAAAATGGACAGAAGAAATCAATGCCAAATAAAGAAGAGAAAAGAAAAGAGAGAAGAATTGACATCATTCCGTGCGTAACAATGCTACCTACTCCACTAGCTAGCACATTAGCACATCGTCTCTACGAATTCAGCTCGTCAACGCATTGCAAGCAAGGTGCTCGATGGCTTGGCTAGATATCAGGCACGCCACTGTCCTCCTCCTGCTGGCATCACCGTGTGCCACCGATGACCGGCTCGTCCCCGGCAAGCCGCTCTCCCCTGGCGCCACCATCGTGTCCGACGGCGGCAGCTTCGCCTTGGGCTTCTTCTCCCCCACCAACTCCACCCCGGGCAAACTGTACCTCGGCATCTGGTACAACGACATCCCCGGGCTCACCATCGTGTGGGTCGCCAACAGAGAAACCCCCGTCACAAACAGCAGCAGTACTATCTCTTCGCCACCGGCTCTGTCCCTGACCAACACCTCCAACCTCGTCCTGTCCGGCGCCGACGGCCGTGTTCTTTGGACAACCAACGTCGCCGGTGCAGATACGGCGGGCAGCAACACTGCGGCGGTGCTTCTGAACACCGGCAACTTCGTCATCCGGTCTCCAAATGGCGCCACCTTGTGGCAGAGCTTCGATCACCCGACCGACACGTTCCTCCCCGGCATGAAGATCCGGATCAACTACAAGACGCGCGCCGGCGACCGGCTGGTCTCGTGGAAAAGCCCCGACGACCCATCGCCGGGAACCTTCTCCTTCGGCATGGACCCAGAGACATCCCTTCAGATATTCATCTGGAACGGAACGCGCCCGATCTGGCGTAGCTGGCCATGGGCGGGCGACTTAGTTATCGGCCAGTACAACCAGGCGATCACCAGCGCCGTCAACTACCTCACCGTTGTCAGCAGCCAGGACGAAATCTACATAGCCTTCAGCTTCTCGGAGGGCGCCGCGCATACAAGGTACGTGCTCACAGACTCCGGCAAGTACAACTTCCAAAGCTGGAACAGCAGCTTGTCTGCGTGGACCTTCCTCTGGGATTGGACGTCTGGCGAGTGCAGCAGCTACGGCCACTGTGGCCCGAACGGCTTCTGCGACAACACGGAGTATCCCCGTCCCGCGATGTGCAGGTGCCTCGACGGTTTTGAGCCGACGGCCTTAGAAGATTGGAACAGCCGCAGGTTCTCTCAGGGGTGCCGGCGAAAGGAGGAGCTCCGGTGCGGCGACGACCATTTCTTGGCCTTGCCGGAGATGAAATCGCCGGACAAGTTCGTGCACGTCGAGAACCGAACCTTGCAGGAGTGCGAAGCAGAGTGCACAAAAAACTGTTCGTGCGTGGCGTATGCTTACGCCAATCTGAGCACCAGCAGAACCAAGGGGGACTGGACGAGGTGCTTGGTGTGGGCCGGCGAGTTGATCGACACGGAGATGGCTTTTGGCCCAGATACTTTGTACCTCCGGATTGCACGCTTGAACGCAGGTGTGCAACAGGTTCTATCATCTAGTGTATATTTTGAATAAATTTGAAAGCCCATTTAACTTGAAGCGCTGTGAAATTTTCTCGTTTCAAACATATTTTGAAACGTTCCAAGTGAAATTCTTAGATTCCTTATCATAGGCCTTATTGTTTCTGTTTTTGAGGACGAAAATAGGCCTTAACTAGTCTAGTAGTCTTTGATCAATTGTACTATATATATATGCATGCATTAACACTCTTGAGTCTGGACTGACTTAAAAAACACAGGTACGAGGCCAAAGAGCAACACAATAAAGATTGTGCTGCCTGCAGTTTTGTTAAGTGTGCTCATACTCACTGCCATTTCCCTTGCATGCTTCAAGTTCAAAGGTACAACACTGCATACCTGCATTCTTACGCGTGTCTATTTTACTCTTCGATTCGAAGGACTGGTTATACAATATTGAACAGGTAAAATAAGCTATGGGGCAAAGCGTAGGAAGCTAATTTTCGATGGCATGAGTATATCGGATGAACTAGAAGAAGGAAACCATGCCCCAGACTCTGAATTCCTCTCTGTTAGATTTGAGGATATCGTGGCCGCGACATGCAATTTCTCAGAGGCATGTAAGATTGGACAGGGGGGGTTTGGTAAAGTTTATAAGGTAATTACTTAATTCAAACTTATTTTCCTCTTATTAGTTCTAGTCATATAATTACATTGACTTGATGTTAGTTTTAATTACGTATCCCCAATCTTACTACTATTAATTGGAGACTGTGGCCCATCGGAGCATCCATATTAATCCTCATGGGAGCACTAGAAAAAAAAGGCAAATAGTACAAATTCTCACAAAATCAAAAAATGTAGTCTAGACATCAACTCGATAGGCGCTAATTAGATCTATTCTGATATAAAAAAAATACTCATGTTTATTATTATAAAAAATAACATAATATTGCCATCTAAATATACATCTAGTTATCCAAATATTCCATTAGTGTTTCTTATAATTAACTTGCTAAACCAACAAATTTAGCGAGTTAACAAAATAAGTAGCAAACTCAATTTATTTCCCTCTCCAATAGTTTCCTATACTAACTCCTAAACGATTTTTGCATTGGGACCTAAACTATTTCTAACCAACGAAACCTTTTTTAATAGTTTTTTTTTGTCTTTTACCGCTTTCTCACTCGGAACCCTTTATTTTCTTAATTTACAAATGCATCCAATTTACTCCGATCTTCCGAGAAAAACACCAGACGACGAGCAGATACAAAGTTCCTCTCGACTGCAACTTACAAGTTGGAGAGGATATTTGGCAACTTTTTATTTTTAAGGAGCTCTTTATCAAACTGTTTGAGGACATTTTTTTCTTTCTTGCCAAAAAAATATCAAAGTAGGGAGTTGTTTTGCAAAACTCCTAGAGATGCTCTTATAAAAGATAATCAAGTAACCTCTAGATTTGCTTCTAATTTACCCACCTATGCCAATCAAATAACCTCCTAAAATAACATCTGAATTACCCACCTATGCCGTTATAATAGATAATGTAAGGAGATGTCCCACTCCTCACACCTATGCCACTATAATAGATAATGTAAGGAGGCGTCTCACTCCTCGCTTTTTTGTTTCGCAAGTGGGAATGAGTTAATTCATAATCACATCAATCCTCACAAGCTAATAATTAGTATAAGCATGAGAAATAAAGTTATTCTATCAAATTTGAGAGATGAATTAATGATGCACCACCTCATATATAGGTGTAGGTGGTTACTCAAATCAAACACCCCATAAGTAACCCCTTAAATTCTACATCTAAATTATAGAGCTCCACCATTCTTAAGATCAATAAACTCTCAAGTTCACTTCTAAATTGCCATCATCTAGTATTATGAAATAGATAAATAATCATAAACTAAGCCTATATATGTTTCTAAATTACTAACCTCCACAACTATTGATATATAAAAGAGTAGTTCGAAAGTAAACATGCATTCTATAGGTCACCGTGCAAACAAAGTATATATGCATGCATGAGCAATAAATAAATACTTTGATGGTTTAGAAATCATCCAAAATATTCCTTTAGTGAATCACATACTAATGACACTAACAACATATTTTAAGTTATACTAATACTCCATGATAATAAATTTGGTAAAACATTATCTTCTTGGATAAATTTATGTATTTTACTGAATTATAGTATATAAGTGCACTCAAAGTTTAATTTTAAGCACTCTACTTTTATAGAAGTACTAATACACACATAATTCTTTGACAGAGGATAAATTGTAGTAACTAAGAATGCAGTTTAGGACATAGAAACCATTTTAGTAAAATAGAAAATGAAATTTTTGAATAGAAGGCACAATAAGCACTAAGAATTTCAACTTAAAATGTGGACAAAAAAATAGCAACTAATAAGATTAATATTTGAAAGGTAAAATTCATGGTGTGATGACATATAAGGCAGAACAAGAGTTTAAATAATTTAGGCTAAGGTTTCAATAAACATATAGTGAAAGCACAAAGAGGTGTGTTGAGTAAAGGAAAAAACTATAAGTATGGATGAAAAAATATATAAAAGAATTGCTCAAGTGTAACTAAATCGTAGATTATATAAATGGATATTATATTAGAAAATAAATAGAGAGAGATAGAGTGCGTGCAAAGATAAGCAGTTTTGGTTAGTTGTAGGTACTAAAGTCATCCACAAATTCTAATATTTATATCTAATGACCTTATTTTTAGCCCTCACATGAGCATAGGTTGATGGAATAGTTACATTGAATTGTCTACATGGTGAACTCAAATATAAGTTTCTCTCCTTACTTTTACTGAAGGCAATGCTAGATGGCCATGAAGTTGCTATCAAAAGGTTAAGCAAGGATTCTGAGCAAGGATCAAAGGAATTCAGGAATGAAGTCATTCTGATTGCTAAATTACAACATAGAAATTTGGTTCGACTCCTTGGTTATAGCGTTGACATTGATGAGAAAGTTCTAATTTATGAATACTTGCCTAATGGAAGCTTAGATGCTACCCTTTTTGGTATGTATCACATCATAAGTTTCTAGATACAGCATATAGCAGTTAAAAAAATATATTGAGTTACTTTAATGGTCACGCAGATAATTCAAGAAAAATGATGTTGGATTGGCCAATCCGATTTAATATAATCAAAGGGGTTGCAAGAGGACTTCTCTACCTTCACCAAGATTCAAGACTGACAATAATTCATAGAGATCTCAAGGCCGCTAATGTTCTGCTAGATGGACAAATGAGACCAAAGATAGCAGACTTCGGCATGGCAAGGATATTCAATGATAGCCAGGAAAATGAAAACACTCATCGTGTTGTTGGAACATAGTAAGTAATTGTTTCAATAAAATTCTTAAAATAAGCTGTAATATTCAACTCAACTTCTATTAATAATTTGTGGACCCAAAATGACAAAACAGTGGTTACATGGCCCCGGAGTATGCAATGGAAGGTGTCTTCTCCATCAAGACTGATGTCTATAGCTTTGGTGTTCTACTCTTAGAGGTTGTTACCGGTACAAGGAGAAGCTCCATTAGTAGCACCACGGGTTTTCGAAACCTAATAGTCTATGTGAGTATATGTCATTTTTGAAGTTCTAAACTAAATTAAGAGTACAAAAGTTCTATCTTACCATAGATCCAAATAATTGTTTTGGTTGTTTCAGGCCTGGAACATATGGAAAGAGGGGAATGCAAGAGATTTGGCAGACCCATCAATTATGGATACTTGTTTGCTAGATGAAGTCTTGCTTTGCAGTCATGTGGCACTCTCGTGCGTTCAGGAAAACCCAACTGATAGGCCACTTATGTCATCTATTGTCTATAGTCTAGAGAATGGAAGCATCACATTGCCAACACCAAACAGTCCTAGGCACTATGGACAGAGGGGTGGTGGTATGGAGCAAATAAGGGATGAAAACAACTCCATGAATACCCTTACTCTCACAACAATAGAGGGACGATAGTCCTATTTTGATGTACATGAATAGGGTTCAAGATATTGTTGAACAAATGTCGATCACTATTTGTGGTCTGGAAGTCATTTCCTTTCTAATTAAGTTTCATTTATGGCTATGTTACTATTACTACTTAGAGACTCTTTTTGGAGGCTTCGTGTGAATTATCATTGATGGGACGTCCTAGAAAAGATTAACCATAGAAAATGTATACAAACACCAATTTAGTAGACCATAATCATCATTGATAATAATATACACAAGATGATTATTCTAATTTCTAAAAAATACCCACATTTACCATTATAAAAAATAACTGAGTTATACTCCCCAACCCCCATCTTCATCTAGATTATTCACATGTGTCACTATGAAAATCTTATCATTACTTTAATTGCCTCTTTTTGGAACATCAATATGAATTTTCAAGAGATGTGGGCTAGGGAAAGAGATAAATCATAGAATTCCCTTAAGTGATAATCAACCACCAATTTGGTAAACTCCAATAATTATTAATAATAGCTATTGGATCTATAATGATTAAAAAAGCATCTTTGATGTAATGGAAAATAACTTAAATATCCCCCCAAAAATTATACAGAATTGCTCAAATCTGCTACTTTCATAAAATAACCCCTTGAATCTTCATCTATTTAAGTAATCGACCTATAGTATCATACTTGAAAATATTATGAACTAACCTCCAAATTGCATCAAAATTACCCAATTATATCATTATTCCAATAACCTAAACTAGCACCCTAAGTTAAAATCTAAATTACCTATCGTAACACAAAAATATGCCAAAGTATTCGATAGAGTTAATTTCAAATATAACCATGCGCGTCTAACTATCAAGGAACTACATATTCTAAGATCATTTTCGGCTACAACTACTTGTGCCATTAATTTCACACTCTTACAAGATTTTGCATGGATCCACATGGTACCACACAAGTTAACATGTAGGTATACACATAACTTTTGTGGTTGACATGTGCCACACAAGCAAAAAGTTGATACATGTATGGAAAATAGTTGTAGATTTGTGAAACTGATATATATCATCTGCGTTCTTTGATACTTATGTGCACATAATTCTAATTTTGCAAAAGTAATACTTGATATATGCCCATAAATTACCCACTTCTACACATGTTAATAATTATAAATATAGGGAAAAATAGCTCAAGGATACATGCATGATGTATGTTACCATGCACACCACATATAAGTGATCAAACTATCAATTTTCTTAGCCTATGTAGGAGCACCACTTGATGGACTACTATAAATATCAATAGGTTAGATATACTATTTGTTTCCTAACATAATAAAAAAACCTCAAAGAACTAAATTTGAATAAATTAATTTGATTGATGGTGTTTTATTTTGGCTCTTGCAATGAAATTTGAAGAATAATTCATGAATGAAACTATGCAAGAATTCAAATGAGATGTGAAGTAGGGCTAAACCAATCACCATCCACTTCTACACCTCCTCTACCCACCCATCGACCTTGTTGTCACTAGAGTTCTCTACCGATATCCCGAGGAAGGCAGTAGTGGGGTTTCCTCCTCTTCTTCTATAACCTAGAGAAGTGGTGCTATAGTGGCAATGAGGCTGCCACCTACTACTAAAGAGGTTGATCCAGTGCCCCGAGGGTTTGATCTCATCCTCCTTGTGCTAGATCTATGGTGGCGGGGATCATGGTGTCTTAAGGGCGATGGTGATGGTGGTGGTCAGATGATGGGGAGGTCGGAAGGCATTGCAGAACCAAGCATGTAGCAACTATGGGTGATCTACTAGATAGGCACGACAAATGCATGCTAGCCTAGTGATGATGGTCATAGGGGGCACACAAAAAACAGGGTTGAGGTGAAGGGACGATGGAGGCACCTGACATGCCTGCAATGACGATACAATGTGCTAGGATGGCAACGATCAAGGGCGTATAGGCAGAGTGGTGGTGTAGCAAAGGGAGCATGTGGGTGTGTTGGCATGGCTTCATCCTAGACAGGCATGTCAAGCTAGGATGTTGTGGATGGTAGTTTGATATGCTAATGTCAATAGCGCATTTGGCTATTGTATATGGCATGGACACTGTTGTGCGTTAATGGTGGAGGAGCCCTTCTCTGCTTTTGTAGAGAATATGGGACCAATGTCATATTCTATTAGGGTTTTGGTGAATGTAATGACAACTCAATAAATTGTACTGATGTGTGTGCTAAGATGTGCTAGACATGTTCATTTAGATCCTATGGGTTCAAGGAAACAGTATGAAAGAACAACAATCAAGATTTGAGAAGAAACAACAAAGAAGCAAGCATCCAATCAGTTGATTAGAAGCCATTGGATCATATGATGAATGTCGGATAATAAACATCTTGAAACACAGAGGCCACCTAAAAGCGTCTAGGCCCCTAGTTGGGTTTCGATGATTAATGGCGAGACAAGATTACTGTGACTAATGTGTGTTTTGCAGAGGCAACTTGAGTTAGGTCATGGTAATAATGATTGTTTGGGCAATTATGGTTTTCATGCCCCTATCGATGGAAATCATTTTGGTTTTTAAAGGATGGACGATAAGGTTAAGGACGGACTAGTTCTAAGTGTTATTTGGTATTAGAGAGACACTTAGAGTAGTTTAGGACTTTGTTTTTCATTTGGCCGTACAATTAAGGGAGGTATGAACTAGTAGCTTGACCTAGGTGAGTCTAATGGGTTAGGTGTGGTGCACACTTGTCAAACTTAGCACTGGGTAGCTCAGGAATAGCCTAAAGATCAATTGGAGTCAACCTTATTCACAAATGATTTTGAATTAGAAGTCAATGGAGGGTCAAATGTTGACCGAACGCTGTTTTAGTGATGACCGAACTCGCGGGTGCTACGTCCAGTCAGTGATCAGCGCGCACAGCAAAAGCCGTGGAGCGACCAGATGATGCATAGTGATTTGAACCAAACACGCCTCTAGTCTTATCTATAGTAGTAGGGCCTCGCTGTTAGGGAAGACCGGATGCAGAACAGTAAACGGCCGGACGCTGAGTTTGCAGCGTCAGATCAACATCTGAGAGGGTCCAGAGACCAAAATTCCTGATCGTACGTGTCTGGTGTGACCAGACACTGGCCAGCGTCAGGTCACTCCAATAGCCTTCCCTGACAGGCTGACGCCATGTAGCCGTTGACTAATGACCGGACACGTCTGGTCACTTCGATCGGTGCATCTGGTCACCCCGAAAGGTGCTGAGTTGGACAATAACGGTTATATTTTAAAGTGGGAAGTATATATACTTCTCCTACTCGTCCAACTTAGCCCTCTTGCCCATTTGTTCAGCTAAGAAACACCTTTGGAGTGCAAGGGAGAGCAAGAGCCTAGTGGGGTGATTGAGATTTGATAATCCAAGATTAAGGACCTCATTAGTGCATAGGGAGTAGCATGCATGCATCCACCTTTCTCATAGGCTTGTCTTGGTAAGTGAGAGTTTGTGCTTGTTACTCTTGGTGATCGCCATCAACTAGATGGCTCGGTGGAGATTGGAGACTTGGTAATCATCCGGCAGAGCTTGTGGATGACTCAAGTCATGGTGTCAACGGTTGTGGGTGATTCATCATGACAGAATATCAAAGAATCAACCTATAGAGAGCACTTGATCCTTGCGTAGATCAAGGGGAGCTACACCCTTGCGTGGGTGCTCCAACGAGGACTATGGGGGAGTGGTGAATCTCCGATACCTTAGAAAAACATCACCGTGTTCCTCTCCTTCTCTTTACTTTGAGCATTTACATTTGAGTAATTCAATTCATGTCTTTACACTCTTAGAATTGCCATGCTAGAGTAGGATTGGAACCTAGGGTGCAAAACTTTTGTGCGGTAGAACAATAAAAACACTTCTAGGCACAAGGGGGTGAAATGGACTAAGTGTAGGGCTTAATTATTGAAAGAAATTTAAAGTTATCCCAATTCACCCCTCTCTTGAGCATCTTGATCCTTTCACCACCAAACAATCTAGTAGTGGGAAGAATAGTGCATCTTATCATACGATGAAGACCTGATACATGGTAGTGAAGAATGGCACAACACGAAGTAGCATCAGACAATACAGTGAATGCAGGTGAATACCACATAATCATCCTGTACAGAACAACGATGTGCGCAATATGTTGAATGGAGCCATGGAATGATATGATGAAGGACAAGTACCACTGTCATATCAATTTGATGATTTAGGGCATAGTGAAAATAGCTTTAGTGCTAATGGTTGGCAAGACCAGATACCTCACTAGATTTGTACTATATTTGTGCCCACTAGATCATCCGGTGATGGTTGTTTCAACAAATTATAGGCATAATGGCTAGTTGAGCTTTGGGGGCCATATATATGCCCTTGGCCATCCATTTGAAGGCTCTTGAAGTACAATGATACTATAGGAAATTAGTAAAAGCAAAGAACACTCCATCCATCATATGGGTTGGGACAAGCGTCCTGAATAGGGTTGAGAGTAGAAGGCTCCTTAGAGAATGCTGGCTAGAGAAGGTCCCTTGGTGAAGGCTGGCAGGAGAAGGCCTCCCGGGGAAGGCTAGAGGGAGAAGGCTCTCGATGGAGGTCAGCGGGAGAAGGCTCCCAGTGGAGGCCAATGGGAGAAGGTTCCTGGAGGAGGTCGGCGGGCGAAGGTCCGGGACAAAGGCTCCCGGAGAAGGCCGACAGGAGAAGGCTCCTGGCTGAGTTTTGGAGTGAAGGCTAACAGTGAAGGCCAACGGGAGAAGGTTCCTAGAGGAGGCCGGTGGGAGAAGGCTCCCGGCGGAGGTCCAGGGCGAAGGCTCCCGGAGGAGGCCGGTGGGAGAAGGCTGGTGAGAGAAGGCTCATGGCGGAGGTCTGGAGCAAAGGCTCCTGATGAAGGCCTGATGATTGTTTTGTATAAGGGCTCTGCGGAGAAGGCTCCATGACATGGGCTCCACGGAGAAGGCCCTACAACGATGGTCTAGTGCGGAGGTTCCATGAAGAAGGTCC